TGAAGTTTTAGCCAAAAATATCAAGGGGGCGAAACGACACATACAGAGGTTCTGATTGGCTAATCGCTACACTGCTACTATGTTTAGTAGCATTCCAGAATTTTCTAGCAACCCAAGAACATTTAAAATATTATAAAGACCCTGTTTTTTTCTGTATTGAAATGAACCTTGGAGTAAAGTACTTCTCGCATACTTTGAGTCTTCTCTTTCGTGTTCAAGTCGCTGTATAGTTCTAGCTTGAGGGGTTATAGAATAGTTTAGGAAACGAATATAGCGTTCAATTTGCAAAACTTATCAGATCGATCGATTCTGAGCCATGTCCCACACAGTCTCTAACCATTGGTTACGATAGTTACACGAATCCCAATCACAAGTAGTCTATATTGTTCGATGATTATTTAATTAGTCATTTAATATTCATTTAAATAGTTTACTTGTTCATTCATATAATAAAAATTATTATTTATTATAATAATAATACCATGTCTATTATTATTAATACTTATCTATTTCTCTTTATGTATAGTTAATTCCATCAAAAAAGGAACCATCTTGTTGATGTGTAATACCAAAAAAGAGAAGAATAGAAATAGTTCAGTTGGATTGTTTTAATTATTGAACATTTAATGCCAGAATGTCTTTCATTATTCAATGTTAGAAATAGACTATTATTATTATTATAAATATTTAACAGTCTTTATATTTATATGTATTCAACCTTCAATACTTTTACTGTCCATTTATTTTGAATCTTACATCAATGATACAATTTCAATTGCAATATCAATGTGAATGGTGTAGGTTATTGTAAACAAAAAAACCCAATTAAAATTTTATTCTATTGGTATTTACGTTTTATATTTAAACGCATAGATATTGGTACAAGAAGGCACCAAATACATATGCGCCACACAAATCTCATTCGACATGTGTAAGGGCTGTGATACTGCCCGGGTACCCAAACCGAAGCAGATGTTTTTCTTAGGGTACCACAGCTAGAGCCTTCGACCTGAAGGTCTGATCCACAATGCAGTGGAGCAACGTAGGAAGATGCAATCCTATGAAAGCCGGTGACCAACGATTGGTTCATACACCATTTGTTCCCTCAGGATCCTGGAGCCCATGTACACCAATGGTTTGGAATCAGGGTTTTCCAACTCCCCCAGGTGGAATCTCCATGTCCATCAACCTGGTTAAAGCGCCGGACGTTCGCTTTTCGTTCTCTCAATTTCGTAAACAACACCGCCGCCATGAGAAGGCAGTGAGTGGGACTTCCCTGGCAGAGGCTATATACGCGTGGCCATGTGAGAGCATTTCGAGAGAGAGAGAGCGGACTCCCCCCACTCTCAGCCGTACCAGGGCATTTGTAGTTTGAATGACATGAAATTTATCTTTTTGGAAGATATATTCTACCCTACCCAACTACATTATCTTAACCGTTTATCCATTGATATTGACTCAAGGGATATATATATATATATCAGTATAGTGGTTTGTAGAGATTGTAGTATTTTCATAGTTGACATCAACACCGTTGGATGCCGGCTCATTGATTCAGAGGTAAAGCGTTCACATGCATGGTCCTGAGTTGAAGACTAGCTTGGAGACCGTAGATGTACACTACTGTTGAGTCCTATACTATGACAAAAAAGTCATCCAGTGCTTTCAAGTTTTCAATGGTATTTATATATAACTTCATTCTTTTAATAAGTCAGTGTTACTATCCATTTGAAAAAGTTAAAAGAAAGTCAATTATTAATACTATACAATGTGTATCTACCTAAACTGTTACAGTTTTTACATATATGCTATTCTCTTTATTGCCTATGATTCAATGACTAACTGACTTGACATAATTAATCAATGTAAATCATTGAAAATAATTAAAACTTTGAGAATTACAGAGTATAAATAATTATTTAATGTGTAGAAAATAAATTCTATTACAAGTAAAGCGAATGAACATTTAAACATGCATATAAAGCAAATGGACCAAGTGTTCCATTACAGTATATAATTAAAATGAGGATTTTAATGTAACAGAAAATAGTATGCAGAAAAGATGATAAATAGATTGGTACGATTGATAGTCACCAAATGCGCTGATTCGGCGAAATGTGGGGAAATGCTCTCATATGGCCACGTGTATATTGCCACTACCATGGAAGTCCTACGAACTGTCTTCTAGCGGTTGGGTTGTTTGCGAAATTGAGAGGACAAAAAGTGAATGTCCTGCACCTAGACCGGGTAACTTAGAGAAATGGATTATGAATATAGCGGTCTTGAGTGCTGTTAGAGGTATGAGGGCAGTTATCAATTCCCGATTGCTCAGACCGTGGAAGGATTCTTCTGGAGGTACCTGAAAATGGAACTGGGTTAGAGGTGATCTTAGTGACCCGAGAGCGTGATCGCAATGCCCAAGGGTCAACTGCTTGAGGTCAGACACGACATTTTTGTGAGCTCCATACCTGTTGAGACCTTACCGCCGGAGACGGATATCCGTGGGACAAGGCGAGGTGTGCATTTCTGGGGTCAAAATTTTCTAACCCCACCCCTCCTTGTGGGAAGGCAGCATCGCTGTCATGCTCGTTGTCTGAAGGAAACACCTTACTGCTGTCACACCTCTGTACAGTCAGCAGTACGACTTCGCCTTCGGACCTTGAGTTTGTTGCTTTTAGTCTTACCACTCTTCAACCGACCTGTCTGGCATGGCAGGACCCTGAAGAACGATATTTCCAGCCACTATATCTCGACTGGTTCGTTACGGCAGACAAGCCCGACCACCACTTCAAGGTAGCAGCAGCTGGCTGGTGGATATGGAGGATCCACCTAAGGGAGTTGCGAAACGCTGATTCCAAACCAATGGTGCACATGAGCTCGGCTATCTTGAGGGAAGAAATGGTTTGTAAACTCATTGGCGGTCACCAGCTACCATGGGACTGCAGCTCCTAACGTTGCGCCACCATTTTGTGGATTGTATCTCTGTATTAAGACTCGTGAAGTGTACTCCTAAGGAGACCACCTGCTTGGGGAAGTCAACATCTTCGTTCATAATAATCTTTAAACATCGATAATATGTATTGAACAATGATGAGTTATCTCTAAGCTGTTAGCTTAATGACTGAACAATGTCAGAAAATGAGCGATCATGTGTATTCTGAGGCAAAATCAAATTGTCGTACCTACGTAACTCACTTTGACCGAATTTCCGAAGTAGAAAGAGAACCTTCCAAGCATAATCTTGATTGGTGAAATGGAATTAAAATAGGTCCTCGTAACGCCGTAATCACATGTGAAAAATGACGTTAGCACAGGTATGGTAGTGAAATTCAGCAATACTGTGGTGCCATCATTTGAGGGTGCGGTAGGAGAATTAAATGTGCTAGGCTGTGAAGTAGGCGTAATTTTAGTATCGGTTAACTTTTGAATGATGAATATTCTGTGTGGCGCATTTAATTTTCGTGACTATTTGTACCAATATTTAAATGGCAAATAAGCGCGATTTTGTTTGGTTCGCATTTATAAAGGAAACAGCTGTGTTTCATCGAGAACATTTTTGTAGATTATGCTTGCTACTGTTGGGGTCACCGATTGCTAGGACATGGTGGAGCGACTTTGAAAGGAATGTTAGGGTTATGCATTAGGTAATAAGTAAAGCAGTTGAAGTGGTGGTTCTTTATTGACTTAGATGTTCTGACCAAGTGTTACGTGTGCCTAACTAAATAAAAGATAATTGCTGGTATAGAAACGGATTAAAAAACTCAACGTGGTCAACACAGAACTTAGCATTAGTCCATGAATAATGCGGACCCGAGCGTCGTACATAGATGTAGACTAATTGGTTAAAAGGACAGTAGGTAACAGCTCTTTTGACAGAGCCTATTCTTTTCTTGTTACTTGAGTGCAATTGAAACAATACTAAAGTTTCTTCAACTTTATCTATTCTTAAATTAGACCGTTCCATTATTGATAATGTTTCTGAAGTATTACTCTTAGCACGAAACATGATACAACTTGTTATACAATCTTCTTATTCATTCATGCTGTTTGATTGAAGAGTTCTAAACATTCAAGGAATTTGTTTTTCTGCATGAAAACTGATTCTCGTTTTCTACTGAATACATAAAATAAACATTCGTTTAATTCAACCGTTTCGATTTAGCTTCTTAAAGAGTTATTGAAGACAGTGATGGAAATTTCGTCTATTATCCCCATTGTGCAGTAGGAATTGTACACGATAAAGTTGTACTATTCCAATATAAGTACATATACTTAGTGTGTGCTCAATTACATTACTTACTTACGCCTGTTATTCATATTGGATCATAGGCCACCGACCAGCATTCTCCAACCCACTCTGTCCTGGGCCTTCTTTTCTAATTTCACCCAATTCTTGTTCATTCTCCTCATGTCTATCTCCATTTCCCGGCGTAATTTGTTCTTTGGTCGTCGTCTTTTCCCTTGACCTTGACGATTCCATGTGAGGGCTTGTCTTGTGACGCAGTTGGGTGCTTTCCTTAATGTGTGTCCTATCCACTTCCAGCGCTTCTTCCTCCGCTGGGATCTGGTTTGTTCTTTCCCATAGTAGGTTGTTGTTAATGGTGTTCGGCCAACGGATCCGAAGTATTTTGCGTAGACAACTGTTAATAAACACCATTATATCCTGGATGATGGCTTTCGTAGTTCTCCAGGTTTCCACCCCATACAGCAGAACTGTGTTGACATTTGTATTAAAAATCCTGACCATGGTATTGGTTGACAGTTGTTTTGAGTTCTGACAACCAGAGCAACTATTTATTTAGGTACATGGAATGCTCGTACAATGTGGGACATCGAGAGAGTCTCTCAAATTGCTGCAGAGATGAGGAGATACAACCTAGTGGTGCTTGGGATCAGTGAAACACGTTGGACAACAACGACTAGCGTCAGGGGAGCTCAATTACATAACTCTCTCTTCAAATGCGACACAATACGAATTTAATCGACAAACAACTATTAGATGTGATTGAAAACTATATTTTACAAAATGTATGGGTATTGTAAACTAATCCATTTGTGTATAATATTTTATCTACAGGAAAAAAAAATAGTAAAAAGTAGGATTGTTCTTTCTGTTTTTCAAATTCATAGATAATAAGATATAAAGACAAATACTCTATTGAACATCTATCTTTTTATGAAATGTTTATGTTCTGTTTTCTTAGTCAACTTTACGATTTGGTCCACTTTGATCCCAATATACTTTTGAACGCATTTCATGTAATCTGGATAATGTTCTAGAATAAGCAAACAAATCTTCATCACCTGTAAATATTGATGCTTTCATATTCGTTGGATGATCCTAGAATTGTTAGAAAGAAATTGTATTAAAACAAGGATAACACATAAGAAAAAAACATTACGATAATAGTTTAAAATAGACATCTTCAGCTTGTCTGTAACTCCACATTCATAAACCAATAAATTTTGGAACACCAATTCACTTCAAGATGTATAAAGTAAAGAATATGAACTAATGCTATGGTGACACTTGAGAGGACAGCCGAAAAAAGAAGTTTAGAGTTTAAAGTCGATATAGGAGGAATAATAGGAATTGAAGAGGGAGGTTGATTATGAATACAGTGGTCTTGAGTGCTGTTATAGGTAGGAGGGCAGTTATCAATTCCCGGTTGCCCACACCGTGGAAGGGTTCTTCTGGAGGTACCTGAAAATGGAACTGGGTTAGAGGTGATCTTAGTGACCCGAGAGCGTGATCGCAATGCCCAAGGGTCAACTGCTTGAGGTCAGACACGACATTTTTGTGAGCTCCATACCTGTTGAGACCTTACCGCCGGAGACGGATATCCGTGGGACAAGGCGAGGTGTGCATTTCTGGGGTCAAAATTTTCTAACCCCACCCCTCCTTGTGGGAAGGCAGCATCGCTGTCATGCTCGTTGTCTGAAGGAAACACCTTGCTGCTGTCACACCTCTGTACAGTCAGCAGTACGACTTCGCCTTCGGACCTTGGGTTTGTTGCTTTTAGTCTTACCACTCTTCAACCGACCTTTCTGACATGGTAGGACTTTGAGGAACAGTTGTTCCAGTCAGTATAGCTCGGTTGCTTCATCACGATAGGCAAGCCCGACCACTACGTCAAGGTAGCAACAACTAAGAGATTCAAATCACTTCATATCTTTCTTTCTATTAACTAATTCTTTCTTCCTGTACTGTATCCTTATATGCAGTCTTTCTCCCATATATTACCACCTTTGACCTAACCACTCATATGAATCCGGTGTTCATCTTGCTGTGCTAATGCAGTATGGCAACCTGGACCGATGCATATATGTGCCTGGTCCCATGTTGTAGCTGACTGACTGATGAACTAATGCGATTGATTATGAGCGATGTCAAGTGTATTTATTTAAATACATAAATATTGGTACAAGGAGGCACCGAATAAATATGCGTCACGTAAATCATTCGATTTGTATGAGGGCTTGATAACTGCCGGATGCTAAAACTGAAGCGGATGGCTTTCTTATGGGGTCACTCTCCGAACCTTTGACCTAGAGGGCTATCCCACAAGGCAGTGGAGCAATATCAGGGGATAGAGTCAAATGGCAGGCGATGACCAACAATAGGTTCATACGCCTTTTGTTCATCCAGGATCCTGAAGCTCATATGCACCATTGGTTTGGAATGGGGGTTTCCAACTGTCATAGGTGAATGCTCTGTATTCACCAACCCGTTAAAAGCATCGGACATTCGGTTTTCATCCTCTCAATTTCGTAAACGACATACCCGCTGTGAGAAGGTAGTGAGTAGGACTTCCTTGGTAGTGACTGTATACACGTGGTCATGTGAGAGTTGACTCTCCTTACCCTCGGTCGTACCAAGGCATTTGAGAGCCTGTACAGTTGTACGAATCACAATCATAAAGTCTGCACATTTCCTTAAACAAACATTATACGAGCTTATCGACTGATACATGTTTTACACCCGTGATCTGACTTTAATATGATAGAACTCCTAATGCTGAAGACAAAATATAGATACTACTTACGTTTTATATGTCTTATCGATAAATCGTGTTAATAGCAACGCGGAGTCAAATACGTGTGTTTTAAATACTTAGATTTCATGTACTCATTACGATAGACAGACGAGAAGCAGATCTCCCTACTCAAACTATTACACATTACAAGGGTTAATATTAACTCAAAATAGATAATACATACTATGACAAGAAGACAAGTGTTGGACAGAATAAGTGTACAGGCACACATACAAGCACAAGCGAGAAGTACAAGCGTGTAAATATAATAACGTAAATATACTAGATGTCACAATTTCCTATAAAAAGAGTAGAACTACTAGGATGGTAGAGAAGACTCAATAGTCACAAGCTGTTTGAAACGATTGAAAAGTCAGAATCAATCATGTAGGTGTATAATTAACACAAAAACGGCTACGTTCCAGTAATCCTTTAAATGCCAGTGTAACCATTGCAAAGCAATACATACAGTACTTAGGTATGTGTAGAACATCATCATATGAACTAAAAATCGAAAATCAGCTAAAATTTTGGAATGTGAATAAAAAAAGCGTTTACAATTTTGATGGAGTTTTGTTCTTCTGAATTTCTCTACCTGAAGTCTATGCTGACGATATCATTCACCATAACAATGAAAACTCCACAATTAAACCATCCAGCTCAGAGAATAAAACTCCATCAAAATCATCCATTTGAACAACAAATCTTCGAAGTACATATAAGTTGTCTTCAAAAAAAGGATGGATAAATATTCATTTACACTTATAACGTTACCATAACATAACCATACAACTACTACTCTATCGCCCCCCAAATGCCCTGGTACGGCCGAGAGTGGGGAGAGTCCGCTCTCTCTCTCTCTCTCTCTCTCGAAATGCTCTCATATGGCCACGCGTATATAGCCTCTACCAGGGAAGTCCTACTCACTGCCTTCTCGTGGCACGGGTGTTGTTTACGAAAATGAGAGGATGAAAAGCGAATGTCCGGCGCTTTAACCGGATTCCAAACCAATGGTGCAAATGGGCTCCAGTACCCTGAAGGAACAAATGGCGTATGAACCAATTGTTGGTCACCGGCTACCATGAGACTGCATGTTCTTACGATGCTCCACTGCCTTGTCGATCAGGCCTGTAGGTTGAAGGTTCGGGGTGTGGCCCCCTAAGAAAACCACCTGCTTCGGTTTGGGCACCCGGGCAGTATCCCAGCCCTTACACATATCGAATGAGATCTGTGTGGCGCATATGTATTCGGTGCCTCCTTGTATCAATATCTATGTGTTAAAATAAATAAATAAACTACTCTATCATAAAACCTACCATATTCATCTTTAAATCATCCATTAATTGACGATGATGAAATTGTAATTCAATAGAAGATGTATCATTATTAGATAATAATAATAAATTTTCAAGTGAACAATTAGCACCAATAATAAGACGAGTATGTGTATCATATAGAACATCAATGAAATGTGTAAAACGTTTTAAACTTGGTAAATTATGCATTCCCATTTGTGGTACATCACATAAAATTATTGTATGAAAACGTTTAGTTAAATTCATATAATCAGCGGCACCTAAAGGCTTATTTTGTGAATAGAAATAAGAAAATTAATGATTATATCAAATGTATATATACATATATAAGGTTTTCAGTATGGGTGTGTGTGTGTGTTATAATTCTCGCTTCATATAATCCAGCTATTCCTATTGCTTAGTAATCTCGGACATGAATTCACTTGACAAATCCCCAAAATCAGAACACGGTTGAACAGGGCAAGAAAATTATATTCCAAATAACAAGGTCAAATGGAAGAATGAAGCACAACAAGAAAAACATTAGTACATTTATAGTTTTTTTGTACATGAGAAGATTTCATAGTGTTTCCCAAATATCGGCTAGAGCTGAATGCATAAGAATTAGCATAGCAACAACAGTTGACATTGAGTGCCCGGCAAATATAATTCCCTACCACCCATTTTAAAAAAAATGGTAGGGTGTGGATAAAAAATTTAGGATGCCGGCTCAGCGATCTAGTGGCTAAGTGCTCAAGAGCGAAGCCAGTAGGTCCTGGGTTCGAGCCCCGCGTGGTGCGTGGTCGTGGATGCGCACTGCTGAGGAGTCCCATACGAAGACGAAACGGCCGTCCAGTGCTTCCAGGTTTTCCATGGTCTAGCTTCAATCGACTCATGACTTCAACCTGTGAAATTTATAAAACTCTCCAAAAAACAAATTCCGATAAAAATTTAGGTAACGATGATTGATATACTTGTTTTACATGTGTGTACTGAAGTGAAAATGAACAAACATTTTGTCACCTTTAATAATGTTGTAATTAATCGTAATCTGTTTATCTTTGCAATCTGATTAGTTGAAATCGAAATAGCATCAAGTACTTTGATTGGATGTCATAATTTGCATTTTTATATTTGAAATGATAATGATAATGAATAATTCTTTTTGTGTAATCTGAGTCTTGAAAGAAGTTTATACATTTTAAGAAAAAAACACCAGCTGAAATGCACGATCGTGCAATCCTACTGTTAATGAATGTGTATTGGGATAAATTTTTCCTTTCCAATCAAGTAATTTAATGTCAACGTTCAATTGAAGTCGTTAGTTATCTTGCCACGAATACTTATATGTATCATATTAAAAGAAAGTTTTGGGAAAATGGAACTTGATAAGTCTTGTCAATTGAACGCTATATTCGTTTCCTAAGCTATTCTGGTAACCCGCAAGCTAGAACTACACAGAGACCTAAACACCAGGGAGAAGACGCAAAGTATGAGAGAAATACTTTACTCCAAGGTTCGTTTCTGTACAGAAAAACATGGGTATTTATAGATGTTAACGTTTGTTAAATCAACATTATATTTCGGCCAATCCGTTAGCGACATATTATGCTACTGACCAATAGTAGCACGCCATGTTGGAATTCTAGAATGCTCCATCGTGCTGTGATCTCAGCACCCATGTTTTTCGATCAAGCTGATACATCTTCAAAATTCGATGACTCGTCTCCATGAAGTTGGTATTATTTAGTTCAAGCAGCGTTGATGATGGTCGAAAAGCAGTAGATCATTTGTGTTTTTTCGATAGTAGGTGGTCTCTCACATATCTGGCAAACGTTCCGTCGGAATTTTCAATTAACGACAGTACATTTTTAAAACAGAAAAATGATGTTATGCACCTTTTGATTTACCTTCCAACCGTTCGAGTGAACATCAGGCGAAAAAATAGTTGTATAATTTCTGATCGCACCATCTACATTTACGGTTAATGGGTTAATGTTAATGAACGATACACTTACCCTCTTTATCACATTGCGAACAAGGTGTACACGACACAAAATATGGTGGGCATTTGGATAGACCTGCGTGATGGCAGCAGCTATTGCAGGTGAATCATCGGTCACAATGCCTACCACCTGTCGACTGTTGGTAGACCGTTGGAAAAACAAGAGGAATCGAGAAATCATGGTCGACGTTTCACGACTTAAAAATGCAATGCAAACGGGTATTTCCTTAAAATTCATATCAACGGCTACGACCTGATATAAATAGACGTTCTCGTTATTCGTCTTGTACGTCCCGTCAAAACCAATAACATCACAGAAACGACCTTTCAAATTCATTTGCTCAGCAGTCATGAAGAAAAAATACGATGGACAGTTATCATCGTCGAATTCGTATTCGCAAAGCCTACCCAAGGATGTTATGTGAGCTTGTAATTTTCCGTAATCACCTATGGTGTACATTATAAATTGGCAATTTGCTTACCAGGAAGGTTCGCGTGTGAGAATACTTTGTACCGCATATTACAGACATTTTGATCAGTCAGACGTTTCCCATAAGATTGGTAAGCAAAATTCTTTATGTGGAATGCAGCGGTACCAGGTATCAGCAGCGGTCTCACAGTTTCAAACTCCGCATCCGTTAACCTGCGCACCAATGAATTACCTTGGTACCTCAGGGAATTGCACTCGTGATTGTGATGCACATTCCCACGTACAACAGTTCAGTAGCCGTCTACAATCTTACAAAACATGAAGGCTGGACATTGGGTGTTCATGGAAGCCCTTCGTGAGAAAAATTATAATAACATTAACCAAATCACCTCCTCCGTCTAATCCGCTGTGACGAACCGCTAGATCTTATACGCCCATTTCTCCAACACACAAATTTAATATACGAATTTTGATCTCTGCCAATATGCGAATCTCTCACTACATAATGACTGTAAGTCGATCTTTCAAAATTTGTGATACCGGTCTTTAACGCTTCAACCGATGGGAACGCAACCAGAAACAAGGTTGTCAAAAAGACTTCCTCCATTTCCGTGACGTGAGAAACACCAGCGCTTGTACTTGGCACGTTACTCTCTCCTCCATAATGACGATTAAAATGTACTTCGTCAACAAGTACTGATAATTTATAACAATTTTCAAGACATAACTAACCAATTAAATCGAATTTTTAAAACTAGCCATTCCATTGGACGAAACACTGAATGAAAAATATTGTAATTTGGTCACAATTGATTGATCACTGGGTGGTGATCAATGTCATGCTTGTCTAGTCCTTATTAGTGCAGATCGAATGCTATCGATCATATTGCAATGTGGCCACCAGTCTAGGTGACTCGACACTGCGGGCACTATGTATTGAGATTTAGATGGTGATTGGAGGTAGTCAACAAGAAACCCTGGACCCGGGTTTCGTGCTACTTGGCACTCGTCAGCAAGGTGTACTCGTAATCTTGAGGGAACTGGTGCTCCCTGGCGGATTCAATCTCGTGTCACCCAGCCTCACAATCAGAGACGTTACCACTGAGCTATCCGAGCCGTGACTAACCTCGATAGCATTCGATCTGCACTAATAAGGACTAGACAAGCATGACATTGATCACCACCCAGTGATCAATCAATTGTGACCAAATTACAATATTTTTCATTCAGTGTTTCGTCCAATGGAATGGCTAGTTTTAAAAATTCGATTTAATTGGTTAGTTATGTCTTGAAAATTGTTATAAATTATCAGTACTTGTTGACGAAGTACATTTTAATCGTCATTATGGAGGAGAGAGTAACGTGCCAAGTACAAGCGCTGGTGTTTCTCACGTCACGGAAATGGAGGAAGTCTTTTTGACAACCTTGTTTCTGGTTGCGTTCCCATCGGTTGAAGCGTTAAAGACCGGTATCACAAATTTTGAAAGATCGACTTACAGTCATTATGTAGTGAGAGATTCGCATATTGGCAGAGATCAAAATTCGTATATTAAATTTGTGTGTTGGAGAAATGGGCGTATAAGATCTAGCGGTTCGTCACAGCGGATTAGACGGAGGAGGTGATTTGGTTAATGTTATTATAATTTTTCTCACGAAGGGCTTCCATGAACACCCAATGTCCAGCCTTCATGTTTTGTAAGATTGTAGACGGCTACTGAACTGTTGTACGTGGGAATGTGCATCACAATCACGAGTGCAATTCCCTGAGGTACCAAGGTAATTCATTGGTGCGCAGGTTAACGGATGCGGAGTTTGAAACTGTGAGACCGCTGCTGATACCTGGTACCGCTGCATTCCACATAAAGAATTTTGCTTACCAATCTTATGGGAAACGTCTGACTGATCAAAATGTCTGTAATATGCGGTACAAAGTATTCTCACACGCGAACCTTCCTGGTAAGCAAATTGCCAATTTATAATGTACACCATAGGTGATTACGGAAAATTACAAGCTCACATAACATCCTTGGGTAGGCTTTGCGAATACGAATTCGACGATGATAACTGTCCATCGTATTTTTTCTTCATGACTGCTGAGCAAATGAATTTGAAAGGTCGTTTCTGTGATGTTATTGGTTTTGACGGGACGTACAAGACGAATAACGAGAACGTCTATTTATATCAGGTCGTAGCCGTTGATATGAATTTTAAGGAAATACCCGTTTGCATTGCATTTTTAAGTCGTGAAACGTCGACCATGATTTCTCGATTCCTCTTGTTTTTCCAACGGTCTACCAACAGTCGACAGGTGGTAGGCATTGTGACCGATGATTCACCTGCAATAGCTGCTGCCATCACGCAGGTCTATCCAAATGCCCACCATATTTTGTGTCGTGTACACCTTGTTCGCAATGTGATAAAGAGGGTAAGTGTATCGTTCATTAACATTAACCCATTAACCGTAAATGTAGATGGTGCGATCAGAAATTATACAACTATTTTTTCGCCTGATGTTCACTCGAACGGTTGGAAGGTAAATCAAAAGGTGCATAACATCATTTTTCTGTTTTAAAAATGTACTGTCGTTAATTGAAAATTCCGACGGAACGTTTGCCAGATATGTGAGAGACCACCTACTATCGAAAAAACACAAATGATCTACTGCTTTTCGACCATCATCAACGCTGCTTGAACTAAATAATACCAACTTCATGGAGACGAGTCATCGAATTTTGAAGATGTATCAGCTTGATCGAAAAACATGGGTGCTGAGATCACAGCACGATGGAGCATTCTAGAATTCCAACATGGCGTGCTACTATTGGTCAGTAGCATAATATGTCGCTAACGGATTGGCCGAAATATAATGTTGATTTAACAAACGTTAACATCTATAAATACCCATGTTTTTCTGTACAGAAACGAACCTTGGAGTAAAGTATTTCTCTCATACTTTGCGTCTTCTCCCTGGTGTTTAGGTCTCTGTGTAGTTCTAGCTTGCGGGTTACCAGAATAGCTTAGGAAACGAATATAGCGTTCAATTGACAAGACTTATCAAGTTCCATTTTCCCAAAACTTTCTTTTAATATGATACATATAAGTATTCGTGGCAAGATAACTAACGACTTCAATTGAACGTTGACATTAAATTACTTGATTGGAAAGGAAAAATTTATCCCAATACACATTCATTAACAGTAGGATTGCACGATCGTGCATTTCAGCTGGTGTTTTTTTCTTAAAATGTATAAACTTCTTTCAAGACTCAGATTACACAAAAAGAATTATTCATTATCATTATCATTTCAAATATAAAAATGCAAATTATGACATCCAATCAAAGTACTTGATGCTATTTCGATTTCAACTAATCAGATTGCAAAGATAAACAGATTACGATTAATTACAACATTATTAAAGGTGACAAAATGTTTGTTCATTTTCACTTCAGTACACACATGTAAAACAAGTATATCAATCATCGTTACCTAAATTTTTATCGGAATTTGTTTTTTGGAGAGTTTTATAAATTTCACAGGTTGAAGTCATGAGTCGATTGAAGCTAGACCATGGAAAACCTGGAAGCACTGGACGGCCGTTTCGTCTTCGTATGGGACTCCTCAGCAGTGCGCATCCACGACCACGCACCACGCGGGGCTCGAACCCAGGACCTACTGGCTTCGCTCTTGAGCACTTAGCCACTAGATCGCTGAGCCGGCATCCTAAATTTTTTATTCACACCCTACCATTTTTTTAAATGGGTGGTAGGGAATCATATTTGCCGTGGGCTTATTGTCAAAAAAATTTTAATGGGGGGGATATTTAAGAAATTTTTAACAAAAATTACCGGATAATATTATTCGCTAGACGTCATCCATCTTTGCTTATCGTGCTCATGTATTAAGGCAGTATCGAGGCAATACGCACAGTATGGAGATTTTCTAATTTGTTCCACTTTCGTAATTTCGCATAATCTCAATATTCGTTTTTTGATTGTTACATAACTAATATAATACTGAACTTTCATCAGAATATTTCGTTCGTCCTTTTTATTGATTATGCAACGTCGCAAGATGTTTATATAATATGTATATATAGACTTCCATCATGTAATTGAATTTTGCGGTGTGTTCTGCAACCCAAAGATCCTTCGCTTCCACCCTCCAAGTGTTCTGTCTACGCCGTGCTTTTAACGAACTGAAACTCTTCTCTCTGTCTGAAGACTGTGACAATTTCGACATCACGTCCAGTTAAATACTACTTACAAGCCATCTTATTGTTAGTATACTTCTTTGTATATTTTATCTGTGCACTAATATTTTTTTGCTAGATTATTTTTTGTTATTAGGATCTTCGAAATATATTCCATTCGCTTCCAAGTGTGATTTGAGACCAGATGAGTTAAGTAACGCGTCTACATATTACAAAGCAGTAGGAAAATAAAATTAGGGTATACAGGACAGGAAGTTGTTGTGGCTTACGAGATAATACGTCCAACGTTCAGTTATTTAGTCGCATTTCTGAACCTTTCTGCAACTACATTCGGTATGATATCACATATAGTGTATAAATGGAAACCAAGTACACGGATCTATATCAAGTGATTGAATTGAATAAACAAGTTTTTTTGTGTACTATTTCAAAGAAAAAGATCTTAAATGATTTTGAGATGGTGGAGAAGATTTGTAGCTCAGGTGGATGATTTTGGTGGAGTTTTGTTCTCTGAGCTGGATGGTTTGGTCGTGCTCAGAGAACAAAACTCCACCAAAATCTTAAATGATTTCCCAAGCTAGCGAACATATTTTTTTAAAATCGATTCTAGTCTAATGGACGATTTCCTTATTTGATGAAATAAAACAATATCACTTTTAACATATGGGAAGAAAAAAATTCTCATCACCTTACCACATTGCACAACTCATCAAATGTACATTTTAAAATATTTCCACCAGTTTGTTTAAAGGTAACTACACGCCCATATGTTGAAATTGTTCCAACTACTGGTGGTCCAACTATTTAAAAGAAAAAAAATTGTTCAAAATAGAAATAAAAAAAGAACAATATTATAAAATTAACTAAAGATATTTTTACTTTCAATAAAGTTTTAGTCAAAGATTAAAGAATTAGTAAGTATGCAATTAGTTCCATGTTAGGTTGGGACCCGAAGTGTCCTGGTATGGACGAAAGTAAAGAGAGTCAGCCCTCCCTTTCGATGCTCTCACATAACCACGTGCATACAACCACTGTCAGGGAAGTCCTACTCACTACCTTATCGTGGCATTAGTGTTGTTTACGAAATTGAGAGAAAGAAAAGCTTAAACTGGATTGGTGAACATGAAGAGTCCACCTAGGGGGGTTGGAAAACCCTCATTCCAAACCAATTTTAAACATGGGTTCCAGGATCCTGAAGTAATGAATGGCGTACGAACCTATTGTTGGTCACCGACTACCATGGGACTGTATCTCCTGACGTTGCTCCACTGCCTTGCGGATCAGATTTTGAGGTCGAAGGCTCCGGGTTCGGCCCTCCTAAGGAGACCATCTGTTTCGATCTGGGCACCCGGGCAGCATCCTAGTCGTTACACCAATCGAATGATTTATGTGGCGCATATCTGTTTGGTGCCTTTTTGTACCTATGTTTAAGTGTTTAAATAAAATCAATAAATTTCTTTAACAATAAACATTCAAAATTCAGTACAGAATTAAATTTACAAATAGTCAATCCTTTTTAAAAATTCTACAAATTACATAAAAATTTCAAACAATTATCTTTATAAACATTTGATATTCATACATTGTTGGTCAAACTTAATTTTTCTGTCAGTATGGGGGTTGTGGAGATTATTAAGTTTTTGATTGAGATCATGAACCGATTGATGTTAGACCACCATTGGAAACCTGGAAGCACTGGATGGCTGCTTCGTCCTATCCGTGGGACTCCTCAGCAGTGCGCATTCACGATCCCGCTCGCGGGATTCGAACCCAGGGCATTCAGTTTTGAACGCGAACGCTCAACCTAATGGACCAACTGAGCCATTTGATATTCATACATTGTTGGTCAAACTTAATCTTTTTGACAGTATAGGGGGTTGTGGAGATTATTAAGCTTTTGATTGAGATCATGAACCGATTGATGTACGACCACCACTGGAGACCTGAGATCACTGGACGGCCGTCTTTTCCGTGCGCATCCACGATTCGAACCTAAAGCCTCCAGTCTTGCGCGCGGACGCTTAACCTACTGGACCAACTGAGTCATTTGATAATTATACATTGTTGGTTAAACTTAATCTCTTTGACTGAATAGCTTAATGAATAAATACTAGAATTATCAGAAAGGGTTTGTGGAGATTTTAGAAACTTCACAGATTGAAATCATGAGTCAATTGAAGCTAGACCACCATGGAAAACCTGGAAGCTCTGGACGGCCGTTTCGTCCTAGTATGGGACTCCCCAGCAGTGCGCAACCACGACCCCGCACCCCGCGAGATTCGAACCGCGGACCTATCAGTCTGGCGCCAGGCGCTTAACCAACTAGACCACTGAGCCGGCATCCAATGGTGGTCTAGCTTCAACTGACTCATGATTTCAACCTGTGAAATTTCTAAAAATTTCCACAAAACCCATTCTGATAATAATAATCACCTGCTCACTAGTGACTGACTTCAGGAGACACTCCTGGAGTTTTAGTGAGAAGCCGTTAGCAGTGGGGTTCAACCAGGTCTGTTGTGAGACAGGAACTCACTGAAGACAATGGTGTAAGGTGGAGCAAATTCGTGGATTGGTTGAAGTTAGACATTAACACCATTGGATGCCGGCCGGCCCAGTGGTCTAGTTAGTTAAGCGCCCGGCGCGAGACTGATAGGTCCTGAGTTTGAATCTCACGAGACGGGATCGTGGATTTGCAGTGCTGAGGAGTCCCACAGTAGGACAAAACGGCCATCCAGTGCTTTCAGGTTTTTCATGGTGATCTAGCTTCAATTGACTCATGATTTCAATCTGTGAAATACTAGAATGTTTGGATCATTATCTGTGATAGGTGATATGTTTTTTTCTATCAACTGACAAACGAATATAACATATAACAATTTGCTCTGTTTTACTTTACACATGTAAAAACTGAATTTTAAGAAAACAGAACATATGTAGATTATTAGTATTTTATCATAGGTATCTTGAAAATAGTGTGCTTATAGGTTGGGACCATCGAATAATAATAATAACCTGTTCCTGTTATCTAGTTACCTGGTTTTTGTTTGTTTTAATACATCCTGATGTCTATTAACCGCAACAACCTATTCAAGTGTGTTTATGAAAAGTTTACGACATTTCGCCGTACAAGTTACAAAAAAGCCGAATCAGAGACAGTGTGGTTGCTGGCAATGTGCAACGAAAAGAATGAACATTATTCAGATGTCGATTCCTCAACTGCCAATATCTAACTGTCAATCACTCAATTGTTATCGTCAGGATCGATCAAGAAATAAGAAACAGAAACTTGTTGAGATACTTTTTGCTGAGAATTCTATATTGTACCAAAAACATAATCTTAAATAAAGCTATTAATAATAATGATAATAAAATCAAGGATAATGTAAGGCTTAATAATTTTCATGATCTTAACAATATTGTATAGTCTCTTTTTTCCTGTCTGATTTTGTAGAGAATTATGAAAACAGATCAATACTGAAAATGTGATATGTGCTACTGATGTTGATAAATAGAAGTAGTACATATCATCAATCGAAATTGAAATACCAAGAGGCAGAAGGTTAAGAAAATCGAAGAAAAGAAAACAAGAACAAACAATGATTGGTGTGGAAACGAAGAGACAATTGATTGACATTTTGCAAATGAATTATTCACTGCATGATTCTCAGATTTTACTAAGACTTTCTGTAATTTTGTGTTAAAGCACGTTCGAATGTTCCCATTGGTGTCCTCGTCCACTACAAAACTACTTACATCGAATAATACATAATTTATGCTGAAAATCCTAAATATTATACTGAACTTATAATATTGAATACGATCTATTACGATTAATAAACTGTTTAAAATATATTGAAAAATCTAAACGGATTGGTTGAGGTTAGACATGAACACCGTTGGATGCCGACTCAGTAGTCTAAAAGTTAAGTGTTCGTGCGCGAGACTAAAGGCCTTGGGTTTGAATCCCGCAAGCGGGACTGTGGATGCACACTGCTGAGGAGTCCCACAATAGGACGAAACAGCCGTTCAATGCTCCCAAGTTTTTAATGGTGGCCTAACATTAATCTTAATCAAGTAAATAAAATCAATCGTTACATTAGAAAAAAGTTGCCCTTTTCATAATTAACACTTCTTATTGACGATATTTATTGAATGGAATTATTTTATTGTAACTCATAAGTAAATTGCTTTTTTGTATTCGTTTAATGGATTAATATACTTACCATGTCCATCTTCAGTTGTTAATTTTGTAAACCATTTTTCAAGTTGATTATGTATATCGTCATTTCCAGTAGAATAACTGTTTGTTGTTATTGTTGTTGAACGAATAAATAGAATAGATAGAATTAAAGTAATTAAGATTAATAACATGATGAAATAATCACAAATCTGTTTTCAATTTTAATCACTGTATTGAGATGGGAGAAGAAATTTGTAGTTCAGGTAGATGATTTTGATGGAGTTTTGTTCTCTGAGCTGAATGGCTTAGTCATGGAGCTTTCATCGTTATTCTGAATGACATCATCAGCACAAACTTCACGTTGACCATTAACCAATCAAGATCGAAGTTTACAGGATAAGCTGTGAATCATATGTGGAGAAATCCGAACACATCACTTTTACCTGAAGTCTGTGCTAATGATATCATTCACAATAACGATGAAAGCTCCACGAACAAACCATCCAGCTCAGAGAACAAAACTCCACCAAACACCGTATGCCTTCATCGAATTAGGTGATCAGAATATATTTGACATCGGCCTAGCAACCACATACTAATTTGTAGAATGCTGACCAATAGAGAAGTAGGTTGGAGTCAAACTAGGGTACTCCGAGTAATATATATGGGATCAATCGACGAAATTATTAACTTCAAGTTTGAACTGTGTTAGGAAGGTGTAAGTTTTCTAGTTAGGACCGGTATGATATTCGTAACCAATGATTGAAAACGTTGGATGAACAAACTTTAAATAAGTTGAAGTGGAAAAATTGTATTCACCCTAATTTTCCTTAAATATTGGACTTAACGGCATTCAATACTTGTTCCTTTTGAACTGTATGTAATAAGAAGAAGCGAACAAAACATTTTTTCATAATCACCACATTAATGAGTGAACCCGGATGCCCAGACTGAAGTAGATGGTTTAATTAGGAGGTCAGTTCTTGGGCCTTAGAAAAGAAAGTTTAATCCATGAAGTAGTGGATCAACTTCAGGAGGTGCAGTCCCAAAGTGACAGGTGACTGAAGTAGGTTTATACACTATTCGTCTCCTGATGATCGTGGAGCCCGTGTACGCCTTTGATTTGGAATCGGCATTTCCTCACTTTTCTAAATAGACCCTCAGCATTCACCGAAACCTTTTTGAGAGCCTGACGTTCGCTTTACGTCCTCTCACATTCGTATTTTGAAAAGAACATCTCTCTACGTGAAAGAAGTGAGTACAAATTTCATGGCAGAAATAACAAATGCGTTTTTCAACCATGATCATGATACTTAACATTCTACAATAATGTATATTATTATCCCTTTTCTCTCCTTTTCATTCTGTTATTTTTCTTTCACAATGTACTGATATAAAGCGTGGTAACTTAGTTCTGCGTTACCTACGTCTAACTAATTATAAATACAAATGTTATTACATATCATTACATATCATTTTTATTTCCAGTGAACTTACTCTAGATACAGGGGAAGATCTGATTCTTTGAATAATGTTTCACTTATTTTTGTACGGTAATCCACACCAGAATCCAAATTGACTATATGACACTTTTCCTAGAACGGAAGAATAAACCAGGGCAAGTTTGTGTAATTGACTTGAAATCAATTTTGTATTGTTATACTAAACAGATGGTTAGGAATTCAGTAGTTAGCTTGTTTCCAACCTTTCGAAAAACTGTGAAAAAGAAGGTTGAATATTTAAAATAATAAGCTTTATGTATACACTGCAATCAGAGTGGTAAACTAATTGCATGAATTCCTCCTTTTCAGTTAGCAAAGCTGATTAAAACAAAACTTTTATAACATTGTCTGAAAACCAGGTAAACTAGAATACATTAATCAAAAACGGCATACAATTGGAATGATAATATAGATCAACCAATTAACCTGATCATTTGACTATGTAGTAACAGATGGAACGATGCCTTTTTGGTAAATAATGAGATGAAATTCGATACATAAAACAATATCCAAAGTACATATAATAGAAGGAATAAAGTGTATATTAGTTGCAAGACCTCAATTGAAAGCTATCTTTATTATTTTGAATACAACTACTATGATTTATCGACTGCACGATGTAATTCATTTAGCAAGTAAAGATCTATATACTTGGTATTGAGCCACATTGTATTTTTTGTGGGGATTACTGAATGACACTAGCCAGATGCGGTAATGGAAATAGATGAAGTGCGGTTCGAACCTATGATATATTGGCTGAAAGTTATGGTATAACCACAAAATATAAGCCATTTCATTTACTTAAGAGACATGTCGGAGGGACAGTAAAGAGCATAAAAGACCATTGAAATCAATCAAATTCCCAAGCATTACCATAGAACAAAGTTGGTAAGATGTAGATACAGAAAAATATTACAAACTAAATTTCGAAGCCAAAAAATACTTGATTTTTTTCGTAAATACGATTAATCGTAACTCAAACAGTCTAATGATAACGTCACTATATGCAGTATTGACAAACAGATTTGCATTAAAATCATGAACTGATCAATGTTAGACCACCATTAAAACCTGGAAGTACTGGACGGCTGTTTCACCTTAGTATGAGACCATTCAACAGTTAGCATCTACGATCCCACACACGTTATTCGAATTCTGGACCTTTGGTTCGAGAACTTCTCGAAGTTAGTTACTAGTAATCATATGATAATTTACAGCTGCGCAACATTGTAGATTGGTTGAAGTTAGACATTAACATCAATTAATAATGATCAGTGTCATGCTTGTTTAATCCTTAAATGATAATTGAACCCTATTGATGAAGTTGCAGTGTTTCCATTAGTCTAAGTGATCAATCATTGTAAATATCTCAGTCCTACAAAAGCTTAATTGTGACCCAAATAGTTCAATAATGATATTTTAGATTAAGAATTTTGGAAATGGAGGTTTGGATTCCAAAGGATGCATCAGTTTCCTGAAGACTGTAGGTAAGCCACTCTGAGGATTACCAACTATTATGAAAAAATAAGTCCACGATTTCCATTTGACTACCTCTCCAACCAACTAACATAAAAAAAGTTAAGCGGTTCGTAAGGAATGATAGATTCCACGTGTTCATAAACGAGAAGGCATAGATTCAAAGGTTATTTCCGAGTGATACTAACTAAGAATTTTTTTTCAATAAATTGCAAAGGGTCACCAAGCCATTGAGCTTAGTCACTTATAATTTGAAAGATGTAAAATAAATCCAGTCAGCGCCAACAATTAATAAATTCAGTGAATATTCAATTATCCGATATCATTTTTTTAAAATTATATACATAATTGTATAATTTCACTGTGTAACAAGGACCTTGTTTACTGAACTTAGTTATGCCATACTGTCACTTTAAGATAAGCTTAAGCGTCAATAATTGAATATTCGCGAACAATAGTAACTTAGCTATATTAATTCAGGTGATTGATTACGCGGACATAAGTACACACTTTAGTTATTTTATTATTTTAACACATACATATTGGTACAAGGAGGCAACAAATACATATGCGCCACACAAATCTCATTTGATATGTGTGGGGGCTGTGATACTGCCCGGGTGCCCAAACCGAACCAGGTGGTTTTCTTAGGGGACCACAACCGGAGCCTTCGACCTGAAGGTCTGATCCACAAGGCAGTGGAGCATCGTAAGAACATGCAGTCCTATGAAAGCCGGTGACCAAAGATTGGTTTATATGCCATTTGTTCCTTCAGGGTACTGGAGCCCATCTGCATCCATGGTTTGGAATCAGGGATTTCCAACTCCCCCTAGGTGAACTCTCCACGTCCACCAACCCGGCTAAAGCACCGGACATTCGCTTTTCGTCCTTTCAATTTCGTAAACAACACCCCTGGTGAGAGAAGTCAGTCAGCTAGAACGTACGACCAGGCACATCTGTGCATCGGTTCAGGTTGCCATACCGCATCAGCACAACAAGATGAACACCGGATTCATAGCAGTGGTTAGGTCAAAGGTGGTAATATATAAGAGAAAGATTGCATATAGAGATATAGTACAAGAAGAAAGAATTGGTTCGTAGAAAGAAAGATATGAAGCGATTTTAATCTCTTAGTTTAAGGGAAGACAGAGAGTGTATACACCGACGACATTGTGATCAATTCTGAGCCATGTCACCAAGAGTCTCCAACCATTGGTTACGATAGTCACGCGGACCTCAACCAAGTAGTCTGCATCTACCAACATGGCTCAGACTAGAAGTTAGTGACTTCAAGCACTGATGCCACGTTTTGGTTTGGCCGCCCCTAACTTTCTTCCAACCATCTCCGATACCGGATAGCATTGCACGTCGTGGTAATCGGTGTTCAGGCATACGTAACACGTGACCCAACCATCTCAGTCGACGAAGATTAACAACCTCATCAACTGATTTACCATCATTTCCTAATACCCTGCGTCTAACCTCACTATTACTTACATGGTGATCCCAGCAATATTTCTAAGGCATCTGTGGTCAAATACTAATAGCTTACGAGTGTCGTCTACTCTTAATGGCCATGTTTCGCTGCCGTAAATTGAAACAGAACGGACTGCCGCGCAGTATACTCGTTCTTTTTATTAATAGACGGATATCTCGCCTTCGCCACAGGTGACGTAAGTTGGCAAAAGCCAAACGAGCTTTTCGAATCCGTGTTGAGATTTCGTCCGATACCAACCCATTAGGGCTGATCAGACTTCCAAGATAAGTGAAGTTGTCTACGCGTCCGACTACTTCACTCCCTATCCTTAGTTCAGGTGTTAACGCAGACAGTCCTGAAGCAACAACTTGCATTTAGAGGGAGAGAAGCGCATTCCAAACATCCTGGCATTGTTGCTCAGTGCTACTAGAAGACTCTACATTTTGTCAGCGTCTTCACTAAACAGGACTATGTGATCTGCGTATTCTAAGTCGATAAGTGGACCTCCTGGATGGAGATGGTGAGAGAAAGCAATGAGTAGGACTTTCCTGGTAGAGGCTATATACGCGTGGCCATGTGAGAGCATTTCAAGAGCGAACTCTCCCCACTCTCGAACGTACCAGGGCATTTGGGGGCTAAGTACACACTATCCTTATATATATCGATCTATGGTTTTTCAGTTTACATATATGTATATATAACAACTTACTTTAAGAAGACCTATAAAAGGTACAAAGTTTACACGTTGTAACCCATTCTTATATAGATCTACAACGAACAAAAGTATTCAATATGTAAGAATTTAGAAAAATGTCCTTTTGTTTATTTATAAACATTGTAAAAGAAAAAAAGAAACTATAAATTATAATTGAGTAGATTAGAAATTGTCAACTTTCGATGATATTCATCATAGATGTTCTTCTAGATATTAGAATCTTTTCAACCACTGGATATTCTACCAGAACGTTCATCTATTGACATAGTCAAATGCCAATATTTTCATGAAGGAAACTTATTTAGAATTTTTTATATATAGAGCTTAGATTCTTAATATACCATGTATAACTTGAGCACTCGGACGTTAGAACACACCTTCGAAGTGCAAAGTACTTCTACAAGACTGGCAGGATCCTAATCCTGTACTCACTCTGGATGGTGAGCAGATAGAAGTAGTCGAGTTCATGTATCTGAGTAGCTACATAAGTGCTGCTGGTAGCGTGAGTGATGAGATCAATTCACGTATAGTGAAAGCCAGAAAGACTTATGCCAATCTGAGCCATCTTTGGTACCTTCGTGATGTTCGTCTGGCTGTAAAAGGTCGGATCTACAACGCTTCGATGAGAGCAGTTTCGCTCTATGCTTGTGAAATCTGGCTTTTCCGAGTTGAGGATGTTAGACGACTCTCTGTGTTTGATCATCGTTGTCTCCGAAGGATTGCTGACATACAGTGTCAACACCATGTTAGTAATTCAGAGGTTCGGCATCATGTGTTCGGTCACAGCAACGATAATTCAATTGGTGTCACTATCTTGAAACATTGACTTCGGTGGCTGTAACCGTCTTTTACTTTCTTCGTAAAAGGTGATTGTTTTTCCTTAACTGAAAGATTTCTTCTGATTGTACCTTTCCGTTCCCCCATTTTTACCATTATTATTATTACACTACCTTACACCAATCTCTTCGTTATTGTTCTCTTTTTTTCCTACGCTCCTTACCTTTTTTCTTTTTCCTTCTCTTTAAATTCTCATTGTTTTGTGTGGCGCATATATATTTGGCGCACTCTTGTATCAATATTTATGTGTTCAAATAAATAAATTAATAATAATAAATAACAGAACACTCCCAAGTCGCAAATGAGAACACAGAAGACAGATGAAAGGAATGTTATTCCAAACAGTGTCAAGTACGGTACAGAACTGTCAGGTATTTATAGGTTTTGGTAAAAAAAGAAATCATCATATAGTTATCCAATCCGCACAAAGGGGATTATTAGCATTCCTTCAATAAGAGAGCTACACGTAGGGATTCTGGGATATTTTTCCAAAGGATGATTAGATGGAATATCTTCGGCTCTTTCTGAGCATCTTAGCGCTTCTTCGAGTTCACCCATGAACTGTCCTCACAGAATTATATGATATGTATAAATCAGCTTTTAAAGTGAATTATACCCTTTAGGTAAATATTTACTGAATATTGTAGACTTAGAAAGTTTTATTCAATGTGTATAGGTGTTGGATATGTGAATACCCCAGATACTACAATGAAGAAATAAATTTTAGGATTAAAAATATTAATATAAAGTGAACTTTATTCAATGACTTTGGATGTTTTCATCTTCATATGGATCGATTTATTCAGTATGAAGTTCGTCTATTTTACTTTCAATGTATCATCATGACATCAATTAGCCTACTATGATTTATATTCCGTAAAAAATTACTCAGTTTATAACTTATAATTAGCATATATTTATTTTCAGAAGGGAAGTTTTGCGGAGATTTCAGTAACTTTACACTTGAATTCATGAGTCAGTTAAAGTTAGACCACCATGGAAAACCTGGAAACACTGTACTGCCGTTTCGTCTTAGTATGGGACTCATGAGAAATACGCATCCACGACGAATCGGCCATCTATTGCTTTCAGGTTTTCCATGGTGGTCTAGCTTTAATTGACTCATATATTTATTTATTTAAACACATGAACATTGATACAATAAGGCACTAAGTACATATGCACCACATAGATCATTCGATATATCTGAGGGTTGAAATACTGTCTGGATGCCTAAACCGACATATGACTGATTAAAAAGAATATCAATCAGTCAGCTAAAACGTAGGAACAGGCACATATATGCATCGGTTCAAACTGCTATACCTCATTAGCACAACAAGATGAACACTGAATTCATAGAAGTCGTTAATTCAATGGTGTTAATATATAAAAGAATGATTGCATATAACGATCTAGTATAGGAAGAAAGAATTAGTTGACAGAAAGACATAAAGCAGAAAAAATATGATTAAATAGGATTTTTTCGGAGTGTTCAGCAACACATTTTCATCAGAAAACTTTTCTCTTATCTATTGTCCAGAAGGTTAATAATTGAAGTGGTATGTATTAGCTGTCCAGTCTATCCAGTGAGCATAGATCCTATCCTGTATTAGAATAATCATTCAAATGTTCGTAATGAGATATACATAAAAGGATTTTAAGTCATAACAACAGATTATCGTGAATTGATTGAATAAAATGTCTTTTTTTCGTTTTGTTTATAATGATCTAATGAGAACAACAAACAATAATAAAAGTCATTATCAACTAACCGTCCGGACAACGATTTGATGTGGCAACAACAACAGCGCCAAGATTAAATAAATTCTCAAATAATCGTTTTAATATCATTGCATCTGCAATATCTGTAACCTAATTTATATTGAAAACAAGAAATTAGAAAACTTTTATTCAATAATTTTCTCAACTTACAAAAAAAAACGAATAACACTGAATTTTTGATTGCTACAACAAACCTATTAAGGTTTATGCAAATCGATTTCGTCACTACGAGAGCTTCCAACGCCTCACATCAATATGTTAGCTATGGTTTTTGACTGTAATGATGCATCTTTCGACTGTTTTTTGTGAATAATTTTATGACATAGTCGGGAAGATCAATCGAAGCTTTTTATTATTTTATTTTAATACATAGATATTGGTACAAGGAGGCACCAAATAAATATGTGCCTGACAGATCTCATCTGATATTTGTAAGGGCTGTGATACTGCCCGGGTACCCAAACCGAAGCAGGTGGTCTTCTTAGGGGACCGAATCCGGAGCCTTCAACCTGAAGGTCTGATCCACAAGGTAGTGGAGTATCGTAAGAACATGCAGTCCCATGGTAGCCGGTGACCAACGATTGGTTCCTACGCCATTTTTTCCTTCAAAATACTGGGGCCTATGTGCACCATTGGTTTGGAATGAGGGTTTCCTAACTCCCCCTAGGTGAACTCTCCATGTCCACCAACCTGGTTCAAGAGTCGGACATTCGGTTTTCGTCCTCTCGATTTCGTAAACAACACCCCCACCACGAGAAGGTAGTGAGTAGGACTTCCCTGGCAGAGGCTATATACACGTGGTTAAGTGAGAGCATTTCGAGAGGGAGAGCGGACTCTCCCCACTCTCAGCCGTACCAGGGCACTTGTTAATATTTTCTATTCGTGACATTACATTTTTTTACTTGACTAAATGTAATTGAGAGCGATTTATAATATAAAAACCTTTCTCTATTTTTTTATACCACAATCGTAAATCTAAGCATGTAAAATACAGTTCAAGAGGAACGAATCACATCGATAGATGAGACGATATGTATGACAATTTAACTTCATATTTCGATGAAAACAGAATGAATAATAATTTATTATTGAAAAAGCAAACCTGAAATTCATCGAAGCATAACAATTTGTATTGATCAATGATACTTTTCGCTACTGGAGGAATAGGATCAAATGATTTTTTGTTTCTTGGAGCAGATGAACGAACAGAATGTAGCCCTTAAAGAAAGATATATATCAAATAAAAAGTGGGAAAATATGGTAGATGATAACATTCACTTGTGATATGTTTTGTACTTAGTTTAAAGTGTAAACAGAACTTTTTCAATGATAAATACACCACAATGAATTGGTAAAATGATTAAGTATGTTTCAATTTTATTGAAATACTTGTTTGGTTTACTTATATACTAATTACAGACTTATGTACTCAGCTTTAAGCTGTACTTATGCTGTGTGTAGGCTAGCGATTGTATATGGTTGCTCAATACAAAATAGATGAAGTGAAGTTTAAGTTTGTGACCTAATGACTGAAAGATAAGCAGTTTAGCTGCCTTAAGCTACCTCTTTGTTTCAGTTTTACGAACCTCTATATTGAAAATAGCTCACAGATATATAGATATGTTATACGACTTAGCAATTAATGACTGACAGAGTCCTATCAAAAGTAAACTTACTTCACAGACGATGAATTCAGTGTTACATAGTACGGAATATCTGGAGACTTCATTAATATAAACATCTAATTTGCTAACAATAAGCTGTAGATTCTAGTCTAGTTCAGATAGCTAGGTGATATTGTTAGCTTTAGTAAAATAAATGTGCAATGTACGTTAGTGAGTGAAGAGACAAAAAAATAGTAGTTTGAGACTACAATACAGAATTCGATGTTTAAATAAAAGGATATATTTAATTTTGTATGGTGACGGTGTTTACGGAAGATAGGAGGTAAGATACAACGAGGTTCAGAAGAAGATTTTATTTTATTTGCGAATAACTCAGAAAATGAAGGACCTAGCCGAGACATAAGTATCTTATTTATTTACCGTCGGTAGTTCCCAGCTGACTTATATTATCAGACTAAATAAGTATTCTCCAAGAAGACTTGTAGAAGTTACCAAACCATAAAAATAAACGAAAATGGAGCAATGTTTTGACATGTGACAGTAATTGAAGGTCAAGTGCTCTGGCCACTGAGTCATCAATTCTTATATGATTAGCTTAGAAGAGATCACATCATTTTAACAATTTTTGCCACTAAATCTAAGTTACTAAAGTAGAATGTATAATAATAAACTACTTTTGAACAAGTAATAAGTGGTCTAACTTACTGAAAATTAGTTTCAACAAACCTTACCTATTGTTAAAGCTATTTCACGGTATACTGTAAAATTATCATCCCCATACATTAATGGGACCTGAGGTGTGTATACGAGAACATTTGGTTTGATAAACACGAAGACAAAAAAATTGGGCGAGATTATATTCTATGGACAAACGAATCAGGAAAGATAACAGGTCTGGATTTATGGCGCAAAACAAATTTATCCATTTGGTTAGAGCTTTGGAATTATAGCTGAAGTCAGTTCATGATGGAAACCCTAAATCTAATCCCTAACCTTAATCATCAACTGTAAATCATAATCCAAATTTCTCTTACTGGCTTATAACCCTCATTTGGTCCTAGTTATTAGGTTGACACTCTCAATGTCACTCAAATGTCGTCCATAAATTATAGTCTAACCGAATAAATTAACTTCTAATAACTTAATACATGAGTCGATTTAAGCTAGATCACCACTGTGTTGCACCGTCTCTAGGACCCCAACCAGGGAGTCGTGAAGGATCAACATAAGCCAGTCCTGCACAACTTTCTTTCATACCACGACACCATGTCATACACTGACCACCTATCCTCCTTTTCCAACCAATCCCAGCGTCGCCAAAAAATGCTTGACGTGGAATTCTCTGGGACGACATTCGTAGAACATGACCAAGCCACCGAAGTCGATGTTTCAAGATAGTGACACCAATTGAATTATCGTTGCTGTGACCGAACATACTATGCCGAACCTCTGAATTACTAACATGGTGTTGACACTGTATGTCAGCAATCCTTCGGAGACAACGATGATCAAACACAGAGAGTCGTCTAACATCCTCAACTCGGAAAAGCCAGATTTCACAAGCATAGAGCAAAACTGTTCTCAGCGACGCGTTGTAGATCCGAATTTTTACGGCCAAACTAACATCACGAAGGCGCCAAAGATGGCCCAGATTGGCATAAGTCGTTTTGGCTTTCACTATACGTGAATTGATCTCATCACTCACGCTACCAGCAGCACTTATGTAGCTACTCAGATACATGAACTTCTCGACTACTTCTATTTTCAGAAACGACAATGATTACTGGAAATTCCTGAATACCAGTCGACGATGAAAACGATTAATCTTTTTAACAGGTACAATTTCCTACACAAGTTGATCGAACTCTAAAACACAGCAATCGCTTTACGTTGAATATTTACGGGGATAACATAGATATATATTCACTACTTTACGCATGATCTTAGTACAACCTAAACTGAAAAACGGTGAACAGGCTCAACTCCAACGTTTACAAAGGGATTAAAATGATGAGGAACGAAATTAGGAAAATGTCACACATCTGATATCTTTGAAAACATCGGTTTAAGACACAAAAAGCACCACTGAAAGTTAAATTTCTCTAATTTATTAAATCATAGATAATGAACATTTCATAGTGTTTAGTATTTTAAAAATCAACTTTGGGTCTATGTTATTTTTTCTAACGAGTGGTTCAGCACAACTCATAAGAGATAGCAGGATAGGTCAAATTTAAGAACGATGTATGATAAGGATTCATCAGTTCCCTTGCTGAATAATCAACTCTTGAAGACTAGTACTGTAAGCGGTGTCACTGTTAGTTCACGTTCTTTCAAAAGAATAAGTAAACACAAAAATCTGACAGAAATGATGTACTTTAGGCCTTTGAAAGGTTTTTGTCTTTAGATGAAAAATTAGCTCTTTAGTATTTATATCACCAATGATTATCGCCTGCAAAGATATACTTCAAATTTTAAAAACAAAGCACAAGTCTTAACACACTGACCAACATGACAACTTACTTCCATGTACTTCAAACATGAATGAGTGGAAGTGAGTTCTCCACTTGTAATCGAGACTACAGCACTCATAAAACAAATCCATTAACATAGTCTTCCCGCAACCTTTAAAACGTTTACTCCTTTCTAATATTAAACTAACCCACAGAACCGTACAGATAAATACCTCTAGGAGCACTTTGACTACTAATCACCTATCAAATATTAAGTATAGTAGCATATAAACTTACTGATAATAATCGACTTCTGTTATAGTATGAGTGTAACTCCTTACAAAGTTCATCAAGTTGTCTGACAATCGAAAATTGGAAATCGTCATGCCTAATTTTTCCTTCTTTAACAAGTCTACAATACATAGATGAAGTTATTTGTCCATCAGCATATTGTCTCAAAGGAATGAAATGACTTTTTTGAATAGCGAATAAAATATTAATGGCACAGCCTTTACTCAACATTAGGCAGGAAATGTAATTATGCAACTATGTTCTTTATATCTCGCAGTTCCAAAAACTCTGAAAATGTGGAGAGCAGAAACTAGATCTTCAACGTTTGACCAAACTTTCAAGCAGATTATTTTCTCAGTTCCATGTCTGAAGCTCTAAGAGTAAATTTTACATAAATTGAGGTCAGAGTTTTGTCTCGAACATGCCAGGAACCTGGAAAAAAATCAGACTTTAATGGAATGCAGACTGACAAAACACTAGCCGAAAGACACCTCAGAACTTCTAAACTTGTAGCAAATATAAGCCCCTTTTTACGAGATCAAAAAATTTAGAATCATCAAAACATGGATTTAACTGGCAGTTTACTGTAAGAGTAAGTATGAATCATTATACGACTGTTTCCATGCTTAAACAACCAATGCCTTCAGGTAAGGACGTAGATACACTCAACGAGCAAAAGGAAAATTTTAGTAAATTATAATGAAATATCGTCCAAAGTCCTCAATGATATGGAAAGTTTTCTCTTGGAGTCCTTGGAAGTCGCATAGACCATCTCAGCTGGTAGCGAATTCTAGTATTTGATAACTCATAAAGAGTAGAACGTGTACATACATTCCATTCTATGTTGTCTTGAATGTCGGTGTATTCCCCTAAGGTGTGTGTTGAGAGTGAGCTTCAGTGAGTATTTTAGGTTAGGAGTGTTTAGGATTCTGTAATTCATTAAAAGGTCACCTTTGAGATACTTACACTTTAATAGGTACAGAACCGGTGATTTGAGACACACCTCTTAAGGTTTGAATTTTGATTCCTCAGACTGATTTTGTGGCTCGTCTGTAGATGCGTTCCGGTGTATCTCCATACTTCTAAAGTGAAGGAGGAGACATTTTCGTACAATGGATGGGGTCGAATACAACTGTTAAACATTAATTGGGAAGTTCTGCTGCTGATCTGACCAAAAGTGCGCTTCAGTCTTACCAGTACAAGCTTTGGTCGAAGGTATTTATGTCACAGCGTAAGACTCGATCACAGAGCACCAAAAATCCTAGATATTTATCAGCTTGGGACACTTCCAGAGCAAAGTTGTTTAAGTTGTACGTGTAGTCTGCAACGTTTCAGACGAACTACTTTACACTTAGAAGTGTTGAACATAGGTCCACTGTTATCTGCCCAACTATAAGGTTGAATAAGATCCTCCCGAAGTGCCAGCTTATCATCCTGGTTACAAACTTAACATCGTCAGTGAAAAGTAATAACTCAGATGATATTTGCTGGGGGTCATTTATATAAATTAAAAATAGAAGAGGTCCTAGTACAGAACCCTGAGGGTACCCCGCTAAGATTTTCACTATTCTGAGAAGAGGTCAAATTTATCAAAATATAAACTAAATCATCTATTGGTGGTGACTTGATACCTAATATTTTGAACTTATTGATGAGAAAAGTTTGAGTGACCCAATTAAAAACTTTTGAAGAGTCAAGGTATGTCACATCTACCTTCTCATTGAGATCAAGGATGGTTGTCCACCCGTACACCGGAGTTATCAGTGGCTTTTCCTGAAACCATGTTATTGTGGTAAAAATAAGTTCATGGACTACAACTAGTGATGTAGACCATCATATATCAAAGACTCCATAATTTTTTAGAGTATTGAAAGGGCTACCGGTCGACAGCCTGAAGGTCTATTGCGTCAGGCTCCTCTGAAAAATTGGTGGACCAGATTCTAAATGTCTGAGACCGCGTTTTGGTTTAGAGAAAACTTGGTATTGGCACCTTGGACCGATGCATATATAAGCCTCATCCTGCGTTGCTGCTGACTGACGTGGTATTAAACGATCAAGTTTTCATTTCTCTTTGTCATCTGAAGAGCAACTGCGAACGTTGGAAGCACGTCCTCAGCAAGAAGACATGAAGAGGCACAGTTGAAAGTCTATTAAAGTGATTGCGTTATTATTTTACATTTTAGATGGCCATAGTGATGCGACTAATCGATAATTCAAACAACCTCCGCGTGCTATATCTTTTCATACGTCATGAAACCTGAAGTGGTCAGCCACATTGCACTGCTTGGCATTTCATAAGTACAGGTTTCACGGCAGTATACGAAGCATACCCTTTTTATTTTTACCCATTGGGTACAATAACATCAGACTGTTCATCGTCAACTGTCACAGAAAAAAGCCTTGCGAAATTGTATGAAACAGCAAAGCAAAGTCATTTTCACATGAGAAATAAACTGAAAAAGCATCATATAAGTAAAAGTTTGAAGTAATAACCTCTTATTATTGTTCTGTAGTTGCGTTGTTCAGTGTTAATGAACATTACCGTAAGTCTTATTTTATGTTGTCAGTTGTTGACCAAAAAACGTTTGCAGTTTAACGTTGTTGTAAATGCTAATTTTTGTTCTATTTCAGAGTCCACAAAACGACCATTTCGATTCGGGACAGTAACACTCAAGTTCCAGTTTTTGAAAATCCTTTTTATTTTAACGATAACTATAAGCATTTTTTATTTATGTATTTACTTCCTCACTTACGTGTGCTACACATATACATATTAGGTACATGTTGAGAGCGTGTTTGGTTGCCTATGGACTTGACAATTAGGATATATTCCTGATAAATAACGCATTACCTTTTAGCTGACACCTTTTTGGCAAATCGTCGTCAATGACAGTGGAACTTCGCTGTGGCGAATATACGAAACGTTTGAGCTAAGAGCATATAATTGTGCGCAAATAGAAGTGAAACTTAAGCAATAAGGCGTAAATTTACTAGACAACTCGGTGTATTTAGGTGAGAAGCAAATAATTCGGAAAAATTGCTAACTGACGCTGACAAAAAAGAGGATGTCGCACTATTTCCCAATGGCAAGCGAAAATGGATTCTTTTGACGCGTCTTCCATTTCCACATTATTGTCTTAAGGAGAAATACCCCTTATTTCCCACATACTTGCCTTTATTTTTGGTTTGCTTGGATAGATCATAATTTCGTCGATTTTCGCTCTCATAAAAGTTTAGAAAATCTAGGTGACTTGGAAAGCTATAATGATACCCGATATCTCTATTTTTAGGGAAACCACTATAGAAAACTTTGAGGAAATGGCACAAAAACCACAATATTTATCAAAACTTTAGGGAAAACTACCAAACTTTTCACGACTTTGGGGAAAACCCGAAAATTCCCCCAAAATAGGGATATTGGGTTCATTCAAATGAAAAGCTTGGATCTAAGCTTCAAAGAACTAAACTCTTGAAAGATCAAAAGTTTATTGAACTATATACTGCAATATTTAAGTGCTCAGTAGTTAGTCATGAACACATATGGGTTTCCGTTAAGGATATTGACTTTAAATATATTGCCATTAACTGTGTCCATTATTTAGTTATTGTTCCATTGTTACATTTATGTAAATGTATTTTGTTTCATTTGTGCTGAAGATATGACCGTAAACAATTTCCTTACCTCTTATGTAATATTTAGCCCGCTAACAAACAATACGTCATTGTAGACGCACAAAGCGAAAAGCAGCTTATGATAGCGGCCAGACAGTGAATTTTTGGTGAAGAACTTTGCCTCTATCCAACGAATCTTGTCGATATACACCTACAAAACAGTGACCAACCAGGTGACAATTGGTCAGTCCTGAAGTGTAACGTCATTCACGAGTGAGGTGAGTCACAATCATAGGAACGATCATTTACTATAGATAGTCTCCAGTCTTCAAAGGACAAGTTGGTTTCCGTCAAAAAATTAGATGTTTGTCGCATAAACGGTTCAATGGACGAAGACACCTTGCCACTAAACACCGAGAAGCCGAAAAAGTCAGTACAATAATCTTACTAACATCCTGTAGAGGTGCATTGGAACGTAAAGAAGGGTTTCTTTGCAATTCCGTTGAAATGGATGTTACAGAGATGCAGGCTGTAAGTAGTCACGTCCAATATCCCAAACTTCGGTTGTTCGAGTGTTATCTCGCCGATTGCTAAGTAAGCCTGTTTACTTTTGAGATGTTAATCAACAAGTTCGGCACAATTGGATACGTTTCCATCAACGTTCGAGCCTAGGCATGTAGGCAGTGCGTTTGCGGCCGAGTAAGTCATGTGTCCGATAGAGATAAGTTTTTGAGATTTGATAGACTGTATACTGTACTGCAGAACATATAGTCTGGTATTTTTGACTTGAGTGCTAATATGTAGCAGCTACTGTCGAAGTCTGTTGACCGTGAACATCCGCGAAAATTCGATTGCAGACTGTCAAGTCAACAGTTCCCTTTATCATCTGAAGATGAACTGGGAACGCTGGACGCTTGTTTCCAGCAGGAAGAGTTAAAAGACAGATTTGTAAGTCAAAAAAATTAATTCGATCATTTGGTTTTATTACAGATGGGCTTGTTGACGCGGTTAATGGATGATAAACCTAAAACATCAATGAGATATATTTTGTTATATATCATGACACCTGAAGTTGCCAGTCATTTCATGCTACTTGGCACTTCATCGAAAACAGCACTTCAGAAGTGCAGGTTTTAAGGCTGTATACGAAGTAGGAAATGTTTTTTAAAACTTCAGGTGCATTAACTAATCGGTTCCTGTCACCAACTGTCAACGAAAAAGAACTCGCGACACTTTTTGACATCGCGATGCAAGGTTATTTTCACATGAGACAAATTATAAAAGACCAATCGAAGAAAAAAAGAACATGTATGTACTAATTCAAAGTGTTAATTATTTTCTCCTGTTCTATAGGTGTAGTCTTCAGTGTTAACGAATATAACCGTAAGTGAAGCTTCAAGTAGCAAGATGTGTAAAAGCATGGCATTCAGATATCGTGGTGACCATTTTTTGTTCTTTACATTTCAGAATTCACAAGATCGTTTTGATTCTTAATAGTCGAACAGGCGCTACGAAAAGAAATAAGCAGTGGAGTATTTATCATGCTCAACTCCGTTTCCAATAAACATGTTTTTGAACATGTGTTTACTTTCTTACTTGAATAGGAAACTCTTTGACTAACTGTTGAGAAAGACTGTTTGATCTGCAATTAAGTACACGTGCCTAATTAGTGATACATTACCTGTTCTTTCTTTTGTAGATCTTTTCAAATTACAATTAGACTTGGGAATTACAATTAAAATACATAACGATTGATGCTCTAGCATCTACCAACTACTCATAAAGTTGTATAACATTAGGTTTTTTTCATTACAATAAATTTCCTTAAACATATACCATTTTTTACGTGGATTGCAGTTTTCGTGTGGTGTGTTATGGAAATAAGGGCGAACACAAGAGACGTTTGGGGATATGCCAAAGGTATTTTGAAAGTGGAAACAAAGTTATAGGAATAGACGTGCATTTAGGCTAAAATCAGACAGTTGAGCGCATAGTTAGGCGTAAAGTAGACCATTCGGCCTGTATTTAGGCGAAAAGTAAACAATTCAGCGACGTTTGAAACACAGAGCGAAATAAAAGGGAAAATCCTCATCGATTCCCTCGGGCGGGTGAGAAATCAGGCGTTTTGGCTCGTTTCTTTATTGTTTTTCAACGAATTTCCCCCTTTGTCCGTATTTATTTCCCCTTTATAACTGACTTAAGTGACACCTATTCTACATACGTAAAGACGACGCAACTTTTACTATTCTATCAAACTGTTCAAAAATGTGAACAAATTACTATTTTAGAACTACGGCAGTCTCCAGTTAACATTACCTTACTTTCTAATATTCAATATTTTTGTCACGAGATCTACCAACCAGGCGGTCGACCTTCAAACCTGATCGCGCCTATTTCACGACCTTGGGCGGCCTCTGCCAACGGGCATTCCGTGTTTGAAGCTCTTGAGGTCGAACGCGTTCATATAGGCTAGTATGATTCCCACTTTTTCGCTTATTTACGTCTACTGTTAACTTCTTAAAATATTAAAAGTTACTCACTAACCTTCAACTTGCTCTTTGTAGACCTCAGGTTGTTTGCTTTTGTGTGAAATTATTTAAACAACTTGTTTAACTAATTCCGTTCGGAAAATACATCAGTCGACCAAACTAATTCGTCTAGGCATATCATGCTGAGCAAACGGTTCGTTCGTTGAACGGAGCTCGAAAGAGCGTCGAATAAATTGCACCACGTAAACGGAACATATTTTCATGTGTTTTAGACTACTCATACCCACTATATACATGCAGGAAGTTGCTCGTTATGTGACACTAGATTCAAGTATTCGTTCTGTGTATCCCAGCATACGTTCACCTGGAAATACAAACCGTGAGGTTTAGGAACAATTAATAAGTCGTGAGGGCTGCCAATCTTAAGTGATCTTTTAAATCTAGGATTTTCAATCTCCAGTCAGTTTTGAGTGTGGATTTATAATAGAATGATCACGTGATAAATTTATGCTGGATTATGTATGATCATCCTTGTGTAAGTTCGTGGATGATTTGTGGTCAGTGGACGAGCCGACTGACTTATGATTTTCTATAGGAAGATCACAGTCTCATTTAAATATCCGCTAGAGCTGATTGAATGATAAAAATGGCCAACTGACTTGTCCTAACACAGTCCTGTACTGAAAATGTCCTAATCCAATCTACATTTCGCTAAAACCCATCAAGGACAGAGACGTTCTATATGAACTATGCTTTGCCTGAAATCACAGTCCGAAAGAGCCAACATAATCTTATTCTGCCTTCACGCTTGCCGTGCTTTCATTAAAAAAGTAAAAGCCTGCAGACTAATAACGTGGTACTTAAGCCAGTAAAAGTATTTTAGTGGTAAATCTTTGTTATTTAGTGGAAGCGGAGATTGTTGGACGGCCTGATTTAACATCTGGGCTACCTTTGCTGTCATCTAGATATTTCAACAAGTCATATGCTGTATTTGTTTTAATATATCATTTAGTTGTGGCACAGTGAGAATGTTTCCGCGAACATGTTGCATGTTGTCGAAGATTTTTGATATCGTTATTTATCAGGTACTATCAGAATTTTTCCGTCTCACATGAAGTTTCGTATTGTTTATGTTTGTTACATGGTGGTGAGACTATAATTTATGGACGACCTTCGAGCGACGCTAAAGTGACCTTGAGAACGGTTAGCTATAAACCAGTTAGAATCATGATATACAGTTGGTGGTTAAGATTAAAAACTAGATTTAGGGTTTTCGTCACGAACTGACATCAGCTGTAACGCCAAAACTCTATTTAGTAAGAGCAAGAATCTGATGGAGTAAGATTCAGAACGAGTTATAACCTAACACGTGGTGCAGAAGCTTTGTAGCTCAGGTGCATGATTTTGATGGAGTTTTTTCATATGAGCTGGATGGTTTAGTCATAGAGCTTTCATCGTTATTCCGAACGACAGCATCAGAACAAACATCAGGTAGGTGTGACTGCATCAAAGTCTAACGCGTATTGAACGTCGAAAACCAGATGCATCATAAGTTTATGGATGCATGTATGATAATTAGAAGTATTTGAGTCATTATACGAACTAGGAATTCCCAAAATAGCATAATTTAAGCTAGACGCAAGTAGGTGAGTACAAATGAATGTATTGTATTCAGAATTCGAAATCAGGCACACATCAAGTACTATAGAATCATTAGTTCATATAGCTACAGCATATTCCTTCCTTCACATAGTTTTTTCTTCAATGCTGATTCACTTAGATGCATATATATGTACTACTTGCAACGTATTCATCTCTCTTTGAAAGAGAAGCTTTGCAAAGATGTCGTTGGTTTCCAGAAGTAAACGTTTGTAGGTATTTACTGGTGCCAGAATGAGTTAGAAAGTTAGCATGCCCAGTTGCCTTCGAAAGAAATAAAGACTACATAGACATTAAATACAGCTCCCTGCAATTTACCATTATTAGTTAATCTTTCTACTGTTAACAAAATCAAGTTGCACTGCAGAAATGTCTCAGAGGATTAGTGGCTGTAAATAAAATAGTTGGCCTATGGCATGACTGCAGCTCAAGATAATACCGTTTGGTGTTATAGAAGACTGAATATAATATTATTGTTTTGAGCTTGCAGTGTAGCGTCGAGTCGCGGTTGACTAGGATCACAACTACAGAAAGACTACGTACCAGTTAACCGATAAGAGCTCCCGTAAGCCAAATATCAGAAGGCAGTTGATGGCTGTAGTCTAGATGTATTTGTTGGCGATCTCGTGGTAACGAAAGAATACCGAGATCGTGCCAGGTTACAAGTGTGGTTACTGAGCGCAACCGAATTCGTGAAAGGTCACAATCAATGTAAGGAAGAATGTCTTTAGTACAGTTAAACAAACAAGTACAGTTAAATAATCCCTGGTACAATTGGTTATAATAATAATTGATTCCATTAAACCAATCACGTTCTCTTGATAAAAGTAGGTCACTACGAGCTTAAATTTCCACTAATCCTAGGTTTTTTTTGGGACCTTAAAAATGATCGTCACATATTATAGCATCCTACAAGGGTGTTAGAACACTGTTCCATAGTTTCATTTGCAAAGTTAGAAAGAATGTGTAGTTTATTACACATCCGTTTACGCAATATGTTCTCCTCCTTAAAGGTGGGTGGTAAAAATTGATAATGTAGTGTGTATTAAGAAAAACACTTCAGTTTGTAGCACGATAAATGTAAAGGGAAAAATATAACCACCAAACAGATCATTCCACTTTTATCCCAAGATATTCTTTAGTTTTTCGAAGCGATGACATCCCGCTGATTGTGATATTTGACGTTAGAAAGAACTGAAAGCTTAGAGTTCGAGATACACGACTTCGCAACAACCACTCACTTGCTTTCTGGAATTCAGTAGTTTCCAAACGAAGTTGATTGATACAAAAATATTTTTACACCAATGCTTTTAAACGCTGAATTCACCTTTATTTCATTTCCTTCTAGCTGACTTCTATGTGTTTATGTGATACTACCTACTATTAGTAAGTAGTTTCACATATATGAAATCATTTACGTGTATTGACTTTGGATGTATTTCTGAGAAACTATCACTTGGATTACACATTCTCTGTTCAAGTTATTCATTTGCTGCATTTCATTTTCATATCCGTTTACTCAAGAGATATACATCAATAAATGGACTTTGTGAATAGTTATGAGATGACTGTAGTGTGTAGCGTGGCGTCGAGTTGAGGTTAACTGTGAACACCGCTACCAGAAAACATGTGCCAGATAAATCAGAAGGCGTAAGAAGCTCGTTCCAAATGACTCCATAAAATCCCCGAGAAGCCGAATATCAGAAGGCAATTAATGGACCAAGTCGAGGTTTATTAGCTGGCGATCTCGTGGCATCGAAAGGATACCGAGATCGTGCCAGGATACAACCTTGGTTACAAAAGGTAACCGAATTCGCGCGAAGTTACAATCAAAGTGTAAGCCAAAGAATGGAGGCAGAAAATAGCTGTCATTAGCACAGTCAAACAAAAGCACGTTAAAACAAACACTGGTACAGTTGGTTATAATAATAATTGTTTTTATTAAACCAGTCGTGTTCTCGTAATAAACGTGAGTCACTACAGGAGCCCCCCGCTAGAAAGGGTTTACACTTTCGATAAATAGCGGTTTGAATCGTGGGACTGATCGGCTGATGAGCGATTGTAGGACGGAAGAATTGGCGAACAGGAAAGCGATCGTTGATCGTCGAGTTGCCAACGAAGGTCGTTATCGGAGAACGGTACCAGGAGCGATGTGTTGTATTTATTGCTTGAGTTGGCATGCTACACCAGAGTGGTTTGTATCCAGAATCTGAAGAGGGCGTTCGTAGAGGTGCGCACCAGAAACGCTGCAGACGTAGGACGAAACCACGTTGAGCCAAAAGACCAGAAGCGACCATAACGACCAAGCGTATGCCAAGCGTTCGAAACCAATATATCGACTGAGTACGTTGACAAGAGCGTGGGTGGCCAATCCAGCTTTCGCCAAAGTTGACTGAAGTCGACGGAACCAAACGGAGATGGTCGAAGGCGTGGGCTCAGGAAACAAAAGGAAAATCAAAAAAAGAAGAGTGTAGCATACGTGTAGTATAGGAATAATCCTACACCGTATCGGTAGTTGACTGTGCGACTATTCGCGGAAGCGTACGGGTAACCGTACTCGGCGACCGGAACGTGAGACGATAGTCTCGTTCGCATTTCGTGAGCCTGCAATCTCATCCGAAGTCAAGGGCGGCGTGGTCTGCTGATCTGGACGTGAGACTGTCGTCTCGTCCGTAGACGGTGCAGATGACGCGTGCTGTTGACTGGGACGTGAGAATGAGGTCTCAGATGCATCTAGCGTGGGACCTGAAGGAGATTTAAGGATCCCGCTAGTAGGTTTGCTAGGTCTAGCATTGAATCTCAGGTTACCAGATAGGGCACTGTCATCGACGTGTGCTGGTTTGAGACGATCAATGCTGACGATCTCGACGCGGCCGTGTCGATCAACCTTGAAGGTCTTTTCGTGACGAGCGATCACGCGAAAAGGGCCTTCGTAAGGTTGCTGCAAAGGTTTGCGTACCGAATCTACTTGTACAAAAACATGTGAACAGGTAGATAACTCTCGAGGGAGAGCGACCTGTCGATGTTGTATTCGAGTTGACACCGGAGGCAGCGTTCGCATAAATGCAGACAGTCGATGGACGTAGTCTGATTTACCGAAATTAGGTCTGCTCCGTGGTGTGAAGAATTCTCCGGGCAGACGCAATGTCGTGCCGTATACAAGTTCAGTGGCGGAACATTGGTTATCTGCCTTTAAGCTCGTTCTCGCCCCTAAAAGAACGAGCGGTATGGTTTCGTGCCAGTTGCCGTTTTCGTGTGCTCGTAGAAC